ACATAAATGAGACAAAAATAAACAGCTGCACAGAATATAAGATGTTGGAGTGCAGTTCATCCTTGCTATACAACATTAACACAATTTACATGACAATTAAGAGTCTAATTAAGGTGGGGGGGGGGGGGGGAATCTAGATCAGTATTCTGTAAATGCAACTGAAGACACAAACCAACCTTTCAACGCCCCACTGCTGGAAAGTACAAGTTCATCACTCTCTCACACACCAGGCAACCCACACAGTGAAGAACCATTACAAATATATCGAACAGAAAATAAAATTTTGTCTGGAGCATGTACCTTTTCAACCAAACCCAATTTCACTTACAATGATTTCTTAGTTCCCTCCTCACAGAAATATTCACATTTTCTTATTCAACCAACTTGAACACCATCCATTTTTCTAGGTTGCTGGTGACCTTTCACGTGTGCCTTTTACCATGATGTTACCAATCTTCTGGAAATGTTCTGATGATATCCTAACAATGCTAGACTTTATATAGGTGAAAAATATAAAGATATGCAAGTACAAGGAAACTGTACCAATGAGGCTTTTCAGAAATATTTTAAAATCAGCAGGTCCAAAAAAGTATACTGTTGTCTCCTTGTACCTAACATATTAAATCTACTGCCCACTTACAGTATTAGCATTAGCACAAAAAGTCTTTGGGGCACTTAAAATAAAGAGCTTTTCATTTTAAACAACTGAAGAAAGTTTTGCAAACTTTTATAATTTTTTTCCCCCACCTTTAAATTAGTTGTAATTTCTTTCATAAGTAATTAGACTTATTGAAAAAATATACTTTTGAGAGAAGCCAGCCCTTAAAACTTGCACAAATATAATGATAATGGTTTCTGCACCGTTTAAGAGACTTCTTGCAAGATATAAGCTAAAAAATCCCAGTGAAGTAAAATTACAATTCAGTCATAGAACAGGTTTAAACTGTTCCCATTCACAGCAAACTGAGGCCTTTTATCAACATTACAACTGTAAATTTAATTTCCTAGTCCTTTTCTTCATCATACTAACACTGGAGTTAAGACATACTGAACACTGAAGACTACTACCAACCAAGTCTGTTAAGTTGCCTCTGAAAGCAACATGTAAGTCATCTCTTGATCCATATTTACATATAGTTCTGCAAATGCTGATTTTTATCACGTTCAAAAAAGAAAAATGATCAGAGGATTTTATTTTCCTAATAGTGAGGAAAAATAGAGTATAATTTTGAAAAGGATGTCTTTGAGAAAAGACAGCTGTCTTGAAGAACTGTCTTTCCACTGCAAGAAACTGGAAACACTATTCATTTCACTATTCATTTATTTTCTGTGTTAGATTTAAAAAGTGGACTGCAACTGGAAATTGGTTTTCCTAATTTAGTAATTTCTACAGAGTTTCTGCAGATAGTGTCAAAAACATTTCAGAAAACAAAAACAAAGGCATACACTTATGCATTAATTAATTTAATTATAAGTCCAAGCCAAACTAAGAATACCCCATAAACCAAAACAAATTAAAGCAGTATTTCAAAAACACATTTGAAACTACCGTTTTCACAACGCCATTTTCTGCAGCTTCCTCTTCATTTCCAGGTGGCGGTGGAACACTTAAACAAAAACAAACAGGAAAACGTGAAAGGTGAAACCAGGTATGTATGAACATATTATTTCACATATATCAGCTAATGATGAAAAAAATGCCTTGCTACATCATTCCAGCAAAGAACCAAAGCTCCAGCTATCTTTTGCATTAATTACAAAAAAAAACCAATGGTAATTTATTTTAAAAATTTTCTACACAAATGTAACTTTGTATTAGCAGGATAATATTTAGCATCATAAATCATAGTAAGTGGATGTTTGTAGAATAGTTGGCAGTAATAAGGCACTACACCTGGGTCCTCTTTTGAAATCAAACTGAAATCTTCCATAATATATGAAGGGAGAATAACAGCTTTTTTTTTTTTTTTTTGTCCCTGAAGATTGACACTTTCCAAAGACATAATGGAAAAAACATTTAAATATCCATATGTAATATTGCACTGAATCAAACTTCTCACACAGGCATTGTGAAATTTTCTTCCGCCATATGGAATAGCTACAATTTAATGATAAATTCAATTATGCTTTAACTGTAGACTGGAAAAGGTAAAAATTTCAAAACTACCAGTCCATCTCAAATGACCAGAACTGTCAAATTCATGCAAATGAGCTGTCTCACTGGGCTTACTTACTGCTGCTTCTTACACAGCAAAATTTTAATTTCCACATTTCCATTAACTGTTAGGATGTTGCACCACAAATGGCAGAGAAAGCAAGGAGCAATTTAGAAACAATATTATTTCACTGAAATTTCTGAAACTGAGTGAGCAACTGCCAAATTTTATTGAATATGATGATTTTGATCCCATCTTCTGTTGACAAAATACTCACTCATGAGTGTTGCACCAAAACCCCAACACAGCCCAGGTATAGCCCCAGGATGCAAGCCTGATCATTTCACTTCATCAACCAGTAAAATGACCGCCTAGATACAGAACCTGAATAAAACCTCATAATTTTTATATATATGAAGAATGCCAAAACTACAAGGCCAGAAACCAAAACTCTTAACAGGTAAACTGTCAGCACACTTCCAGAGTTCCAAACGCAACTCCTAAGATGGATAAGCTGCCATTTGTTATGTTTTTTAGTCCATAACTTATGTATGGAGGCAGTCAAATGCCAAGCTTTCTTGACCAGAAACTGGAGTAAAACACCATTGTTTCTGAAGATTATTTTAGTTGCCATGCAAGTAATTTTCTTAAACAACAGTAATTCTGACAAAGGGTACCAAGCCAAGGAAAGGTAACTGAACACAAGGAATCAACTGATATAGAATAACTTCCAAATAAAAAGCAAGTAAATAATTAGAATTCTTTGTCTGGAAAATAAATTACTCAAGACAAATGCAACAGAGGTCTACAAAACTGTTAAGTGACATGGAAAAGGTGTCAAGAAACAATTAATACAAGAACTAATTAGAATCAAATAATTGCATCTAGTAGCTCCTGCAAACCATACTGTATGTAGTCAAGTGGTGGATGTCATTACTGCTGTACCACACTGTGCATGTCAGAAGTCGATGTCAATTCAACTGAGCAAGCTTGCAGACAAGAGGTCCACCAAGGCTAACTAAATTCAAGAGTTCTCATTGAAAAAATCTCAGTTGACCGGAAGTATTTATAGAAAATAACACTGCATGGTTTTTTGTATTGGTTTCCCCTTTGTTTGATTTTTCTTGACAATCAACAATTTCCAGAGTTTATCAGCTGTGAGACTTGTTTCATTCAGTATGTGAAACTGAATCCCATTTCCAATTAGTCCTTGCTATTAACCTCCATCAACTAGATACTCAAACGAACATCTTTGTGCTTTCTCTCATACAGCTCCTTATAACTCAAGCAGGATCCCTCAAATACTTCCAAAGCTTGTTCTAAATATCTTTCAAATACTCTTACTAATAAAAAAAAAACCCAACCCCAAAACCCTAAGCAGATGTGTTATGCGACCTGCACATCAAACTAGCTGGCAATCCCCCACTAGTTCCTTGTGTTCATCTTTCTGTAATCTGTACATTTTAAACACTGTAAAAAGATAAGTATATTTACCAAGTCAAGGGAGGTGATTCTCCCCTTCTATTCCACTTTTGTGAGACCCCACCTGCAGTGCTGTGTCCAGCTCTGGGGACCCCAACATAAGAAGGACAGGGACCTGCTCGAGCAGGTCCAGAGGAGGCCACAAAGATGACCAGGGGGCTGGAGCACCTCCCTGATGAGGACAGGCTGAGAGAGTTGGGGTCATTCAGCCCGGAGAAGAGAAGGCTCCAGGCAGACCTTATAGCGGCCTTCCAGTACTTAAAGGGGGCTACAGGAAAGGTGGGGAGGGACTCTTCATCAAGGGGTGTAGGGATAGGATGAGGGGTAATGATTTTAAACTGAAAGAGGTTAGATTTAGATAAGATATAAGGAAGAAATTCTTTATTGTGAGGGTGGTGAGACACTGGCACAGGTTGCCCAGAGCAGCTGTGGCTGCCCCCTCCCTGGCAGGGCTCAAGGCCAGGCTGGACGGGGCTTTGAGCACCCTGGTCTGGTGGAAGGTGTCCCTGCCCGTGGCAGGGGGGCTGGAACTAGATGATCTTTAAGGTCCCTTCCAACCCAAACCATTCTATGATATGATTCTTTGGGAGACAGACTGTGTTTTAATTTCTAAATTATCTAGAATAAGTGAAGTTCTGATCCATTACTAAGACTGCAAAGCACAATGATTACAGAAATAAGAGGCCTGCTGTCATTTTGTGAGGTGCTATTGCAGTCCTAACAGTTAAAATTTAAAATAACTTTAACAGTCAAGTACCCTAATTTCACAGGTAAAACCATTTCACAAAAAGTCATCGTTCTAGCAAACCAAGCATACTAACTTAAGGAGATTTTCAAATACACCAGCATATGTTAAGGTGCTATGGTCTTTCAAGCAGCTGGGAAGAATGCAATGAACAGAGTTTTTGTGCAGCCATGCTACAGAACTTCTAGCTGTCAAGATACTCACCTAGCTTTTTCTTCCTCTGGTCTCTCTGCTTCATTTTCATCTACCACAAGAGAAAAGAAACACAGTAGTTAAGAATAAAATCCCCTGAATACCAACTATGATAGGTATCTTGCCATACAGTTTATTAGGCAACTCTTCAGTTTACTACTGAGACATTTTTATAATGTTTCAATTGTGAAATCAGCCCAGCAGCCCCCTAAGTCCTCACAGTGCACTGTACTGACAGGTACAGGGGCAGGGTTTAGCTTACAGGTTTCATTACGATCTGAATGTAAAGAAAGTCCTGAAAGTTGTCAATAAAGTTGATGCACGAAAGGTTAAGGCTGCTTCGGGACTTCAACGCTGGGAGCCTGGCCAGGGTGGGTAGTGGGGGGTATAAAAGGCTCGGCCGCCGCAGGTGTGCCTGTGGGCCGGGAGTGCCATGCGGGCCTGCCGCCGCGGGGGAGGGGGCCGCGCACAGGCCCGGGACGGCACCGCCGGAGGGCTGGCCAGGAGGAGGGGACTCGGCAACCACGGAGGTGGTGGGACGCGGGTGGGGGGGGAGAGGACGGGGGACCCTTTTAAACAGCCGCCGGCCAGCCGCGCTCGGCGGGCAGGTTGCGGGCCTCGCCGGCCTGGCGAGGCGGAGCACGCCGCGGCCTACCCGCCTTCCCCCCCCCGCCTCCGCCGGGGCAGAGCGGAGCGCCGGGCCGGCGTGCGGGGGGGGAGGTGGGCTTGGGGGGGGGGGGGTGTCTGGGAAGGTCCGTACCGCCATAGAGCCACTCCTCCTCCTCGTCTCCGGCGGCCCCACCGAGGTCCGCAGACAGCCGCTCCACCTCGCCGGTAGACATGGCCGCCTCCCCGCGGGACGCGAGGGCCCGGGCCCGGCGGCGCCGGCGCCTCCCGCCGCTGAGGCAGCACCGCCGGGCCTCCACCGGCGCCCCGGGCCGCGACCGGGCGGCGACCGGGGGTGGTGGTGGTGGAGGGGGAGGTGGGTTAGGATCTCCCGGGCGGGCGGCCTAACGCCACCGCTCGCGGAGGAACCGCCGCCGCCTGCTCGGCGCTTCCCCTCCCCCGCCGAGTGAGTGACACGCACAGGAAGCGGGCCCGGCCCGGCCCCGCGGCGCCCTGGGCACGGGCATGCGGGGGGCGGCCCGGCGGCGCCCGGCTGCGCAGCCAGGGGCGGAGAGGGCGCCGGGGGGGGGGGGGGGGGCGGGCGCGGCCCGGCGCCCTCTGCGCACCCCGCGGGGCCGCGCGTGGGGAGAAGCGGAGGGGCCTGCTGGCTACCCGCGGAGGGGGAGCGGGCCGGGGGAGAGAGGCCGTGCGGCCAGGCCGGGGGCTGTCCGGCCCCGCTGCCCCCCCGGCCGGTTCCCCGCTCTGTGCTCAGCCGGTCGCCGGGACTCACCTCGGCTGCGCCTTCCCGAGGCGCGGCGTGCCTGCCGGAGCCGCCTTCCCTTCCTCTCCCTGCCCTCTGTCTCCGCTGCTCTCGGCGGTCCTTGTGCTCTTCTGCGTCCCCAAACGCCCGTCCGTCCCCCCGGCAGGGAGCACCGGCGGCGCGGCGACCTCTTCTAGGGCATCCTCGCCCATTTCCAGAAGCGGGACTTGACCAAACACACGTACAGTCCGGTGCCGTGCTTCTACTGGCGGCTGATGGCAGCTGCCGGGGGGGAGCGTAACCGCAGGATAAACACTCTGCTACTTCTATTAGTACTGTCCTAGCCCTCAGCTCAGGGGCTTTCCCAGCTGGAGGGAATATTTTAGGTTTAACAACTCTTTGTAGATTCCCCCTTCCCCCCTCCAAGTTGCCTGATTTTATTTTTAGCTCCAGTAAGAGTTTAACATTCATCGTGTGCTGTGAGTGTTACAGAGAGCAACTATGCATTTTGTGAAGAAACTGCTCTACTTTAAAAGTGGTGGGAAGTACCAAGCCATTTTTACTGATGATTTGCTGACTTTACATCCATGAATGCTGCATGAACAACTGCAAGATTCATGAGAAAATTTAAGTACCAACTGTTGTCAAAACAAGTTTTGACCAGTTGTGTGTACAGATGGGGTCTTCGGCATCCTAGGATGTTTGTGAAAACTAAAAAAGGGACCCCCTTTTCACAGTGGGATGGCTTGTGAAAAATCAGACCAGAGGGCTTGACTGTATTATAAACATATCACAACTCTGGGTGGGGGAAGCTTATTCTTCGAATTGCCTGCATAGAGAACCTTGTTGTAAAGTTTCATGTGTGGCATGACATTTCACTGGAGTTCACGTGAATAAACTACCTTCCCAAACAGCCTTTTTTTTTTTTTTTTTTCCCCTGAAATTAAATGTTCGGGTGTCATGAACAAATCCTTAATTATGTGGTGTAATTGAGTAGGTTTTCATCATGCAATTCCATTTTTTATACAATAAGTAGTGGAGTCAGCAAAGGTGTTTTTCTCCCAAAACATTTCTAGACACTTTTTTTACCGTGAATTTGTATTGTAGTATCTCTTACTGGGCATCAGTGTCTGCGTTCATTTTCATTCCTGTTTTATTTTCCTGACCATCTAGTGCACTTCTGGCTGCTATTAAAGGACATGGTAGAACTCTAATAGTTTCCCTGGACTGCAGACAGAAGGCAGAAGAAAGGAAGTATGTTTGTGGTAAACACCACAAAGAGAAATCAGGAGTAGGTGTAGAACATAAAATCTCTTAAAATACATCAATGCAGATCCTCTAAGCAGTTTTCCTCCTCAAAACCTTTAAACAGACATCACATTGAGCTGTTGGTCACATAAATATCCACCTTGAGCAGCTTGAACACTGGAAGATGACCCAAGATGGCATTTCAACTCCTGCCCTCAAAGGTAAACACTCCCACCAGTCCCAGGCCCTGGAAAGGACCTTGCAGTTTCTCCTGCAAGTTGGGGCCTGAAAAGGCTTCTCCCAAGGCCCTGAGTAGCTAAAAGGCTGAGGACAGAAGAAGATGTCTTTGAGAGCTGCATAAACATCTTAACTCAGGGGTTACACTCTAGCAAACCCACAAAAAGATACCAAGTTAGTGGGAACCCTTTAATGCAGTTCTTTTGCTAACATGGTAGTTGTAAATTTGCACATGGGATAGAATAAGCTGTAAAAGCTACTTGGATAATTTGCTTTGTAATTTAACCACTGTGCTTTAAACTGATTAATGCCATTTTTTCTTCTGGCTAGTAATCCTGTTTTTTTGTTTTGTTTTTTTTTTTTCAACATTAGCATATGCAGAACTAGTTGCAGTCAGTACAGTACTTATAAAGTAAAAAAGCCATTTTTTTTTCTTAAAAAAGCATCTGCTGTTTTGATAATGTCTGAAAAAAACCCACAACCTTTTAAAAAAGGTGATTAAAGAGTTGGACAAGCCATAATATATCTAGCTTTAGTCCATGGCACTCAAGCATAAAGCAAAAGCTCAGAGATGCATAATCTCTGAAGTAATTCAATCTGAGAGAAAGATAATTCTACTGGTGTATAAATCCAGGGGCACACTGGTTAACCATCCCCAATCCTTTTTTGGCATTCATTTTCCAAATCAAAATAGTTGAGAAGGCTATTAACTTTTTATTTTCCTAGCATCGTAAAGTTTTATGCCCTAAAATTAAAATAACAGCTTAGATTGGAACAGCACAAAGATGTAAATCTGAATTTGGATAAGGGAAGAATGCATCAAGGTATGAATGTGCATGGAGCCGACTGGAAGGAGAGGATTTAATTTCGTTACTAGAAATCTGGTGATTCCACATTACTCTTGTTTTTTGGTGTTCTGAGACCAGCTGAATCTGCCAGGGACCAAAGGTCAGTTAAGGTAGTGGATGAACTAATTAAATCATTTCTATTATTGTTGTTAATCCCACTGTGTTAGAAAAAGTGCCCTCCTCATTCTGTACTAAGGAGGTTGCTCAAGTAAAATACTATGTAGAACACAGACTTGCAAGTGAGCCATCCATTCTCTGGGAGGAAGAATTTGTAGATGCCTATTATGGCACTTTTTTCTAGTTAGCTTTGAAATTGATTTTGAGGTCAAGAGTTTTTTAAAGGAGAAATGGAATGAAATTGTCATATATCTCCAACTGTGTATCACAAAAGTTGCATTTATTAAAAGAGAATCTTGTTGCTAGCTTGTCAACCACTGGATTTGTTAATACTAACACAAGAAATACAGAATTATAGGACAGGGAATGGAAGTTTCACCTTGGTGGTGCTGTACTTTTAAAAAAGTATCAGCGAAACAGTTGTTCTCTCGGGATAATACACCGATTCAACACAAAGGAGGTAGTGACATAAATAGTGACACTGGATTGTTTTAACATTTACCAGGAGCAAGACCAAAGCAGCTCGCTGCCTTTTCAGGAAAACGTCAGGAAAACTGCACTGTCAGAGTTCAGAGGTCGCTCCTGGTGCTGGCTGGGGCCGCGGACTGTACCAGTTTCTAACACAGACTGTAAGCGAGAGAAACATTTTAGCGTTTGTGAGAATTCGGCTCTCTCAGCAAAAAGAACAGTCCCCTATCCTCTCTTCTCCCAGAGTTGTACCTCCGCTGCTGCTCTCGCGGTGGAACAGGCCGGGCGGGAGCACTGGCCGAGGCTAACTCTCCCCCTTGGGGACACCAGGCCCCGCACCGGCTGGCAGGAACGCTGTCCGGGCCGCCCTTCACCGGCTGCTCAGGGGACGCGCGGGGAGGAAAGGCCTCGCCGCCGCCATCAACCCCGCCACGGGCGCCGGGGACCTCCCCGCGGCCGCACCCCCTCACAGCGGCCCCGCCCCTCTCCCTTGTGGGCGGGGCCAGCCAATCCGCACCCTCCGCGTCATCCCGCGGCGCCGGGCACGTGCGGCGTGTTGTGGGCTGTCAGCGCCCGCCGCCGCCGCCATGGCGGTGCTTGAGCCGGAGCTGCGGCGGGTGTGCCGGCAGGCCTGGGAGCCCGTGCTCGCCAGGGCCCCCCGGGCCGCCGTCTTCTTGGACGCGGCGTCCGCCGAGGCGCTGCACTGGGGCGGCGGCGGGGCGGGCGAGCTGCTGGCAGCGGGAGCGCTGGCCGTCAGGGCGCTGCCCGCGGTGGCGGCGGCGGCGGCGGCGGCGTCCCGCGTCGTCTTCGTGGTGAGCGGGGCCCTGCGGGGCGGCGCGGCCGCCTCCGTGCGCGGCGTGCTGGGCCGGGGCGCCGTGCGGCACTGCGCGCTGGTGTGCGGCGGCGAGGCGGAGGGCGGCGGGCCGGCCGAGCTGGAGGAGACGTTGCGGCGGTGGATGGGCGAGGGCGGGCGCGCCGAGGTGGTGCTGCGGCGCCCGCCGCTCCTGGCGCCCGTCTCGGCGGAGCTCTGCCTGCTGCCCGGCCTGGCCGCGCTCCTCCCGCCCCTGCCCGGCCCCGGAGGGCCCGGCCCCGCGGAGGGAGGGCTGGGCGCCCTGCCTGCCGAGCTGCGGGCGGCCGTGCGGCTCCTGGTGAGCGACCTCGACGCTCTCTTCGCCGCCCTGGGGCTGCGGGAGGAGAGCTTCGCCGTGGGGGCCCTCAGCAGGGTCGTTGCTGCTGAGCTGGCAGGCTACGCCCCAGCCAGGAACAGGAGGAGGACAGCCACTAACAAGGCCTCGGTCATCTTCGTGGACAGGACGCTGGATCTAGCTGGTAAGAAACCCACCGCTGGCAGAGGCTGTCATCGTTGCGGGCACTCACTCCTGGCTTACGAGGAGGTTTTTGGGTAGTTTCGGGAGTCCTCGTGGCCTGGGAGCCACGTGTAATACCATGGCTGTGGTGGTTGCCCCCACCTCCTCGCTCCCCAGTGGGTCATGGAAACCAGGAGTGGAGCGGAAGGCTCTGCTGGAAGCACAAGGCTTTGTTTGTGGCATTTCCACTTTGCTGCAAACTAGACCTTGGCTGTACCTGTGTCATCCCAAGATGTGAAGGAAATGTTCTGCGTGGACTGTGCCCGCTGGATTACTGTGAGGCATTTCCCAGTGTATCTGCTTGTCACCCTTAGTATTATATCTGCCTAAACAGATAAACGTCTGTATATACACTTAGCTACATCTATATGGCTGAAAGTGTCTGTGTAGGTGTATGTATAATCTTTATATACTATGCATTATACTGAGCCTTTAAGTGAAGCAATTGCATGTGGCTGGTGTTGTTTACTTGGAAAAAATTATGTTTGAGTGAAAACGATACAGAATTGTTTAGACAACACTTTCTGGGAAGCAAATGAGTGTAAGAATGAACCGTATGGTAAATTTAACATTGCCAATTAATGCAGAATTGATGCAAAAGTTGAGAAGCATAGAATGTGGTGTGAGAGTCTGCTGGAAGACTGTCAGAAGGAGAATGTCTAGTGCTGTAGCTTGGTAAGTGAGGTGAAGTCTTTTCAGCTGCTGTGAGATCAAAAGGGCAGAAAAGGAAAGAGTGATTGAACGAGTCACCAGCAAGGTGCTGGTATCAGGCTCTCACTTCTGGCAAAATAATCTTTCAGAGGAGATGGTAAACTCTGAGAAGAATTGATATATGAGTGTCTGCATTCACTTACCCCATCATATTATTGATGGATCTGCTCCCATATAGATTATGTGAGCCTGGTTCTGTTTACATGGCATATAGTCAACAATTCAGGTTGTATTTTTGCCACATGACCCCTAGCAAGTGCTTGGTACAATGTTGTACTCGCAGCTCATCTGTTTCTGGTTTCATCTTTTTCTCCTCAATTTTGTCTTTGTGTATCCTTGCATTGCTGCAGGGTTCGTAGCTGTCAACAGTGTGCTGAAGAGCAGCTATGGATCTGGGTGGTTAATGCTTTGCTGTGGTTTGGGAAGACTGCTGGAAATACTGCAGGAGAGTGGACTTGAATGAAGAGCCTTGAAATGAAACTGTGAGGAATGCCCGTTTGGGGTGGGAACCAGTGAAACTGGGCAAGGATTTGCATACTCAGGTGGTGGGAAGAATTAAAAACAGAAAAGGAACTGGAAACTGTGGGTGACAGGGAGCTGCCTGACAAGGATACTGTTGGGAATGCATGAGGAGAGATAACTGGTGCCAGCTTAAATCTGTGAAGTGAAGTCTCTGGTAGTAGGAGGTTTTTCAGAGTAAACATCAAGGCTGTGGTGGGGTAGCTTTGGAGCATCAAAGCTCTTGGAGTAAGGATGGGAAATTGAAGTATTCATTATTTTAACAGTATATTCTCTTCAGTATCTGTAATTGAAACTGTGATCCCTTCACGCAGTCATTCTTTTGTTATCAACAAATGTCCCCAGAATTCACTGACAGCTTCACTGAAGCCCTTCTGTACTTTGGACATGATACCATA